AAGGCATTATAGATATGACCATTTAAATTTCAAAAGTCTGCATCAACTAAGCAGCAGACAAATGGTGCTTGGAATGTCATCCATTCGACCAACACTAAAAACTTGTTAAGGATGCTTGATTGGCAAACAACTTAGAAAAACATTCAAGACCAAAGCACCACAAAGAGCCAAACAACCTCTTAGAGTAGTTCATTTAGACGTGTGTGGACCCTTTGATACTCCATCCCTTGGTGGTAATAGGTATTTTTTGACTTTTGTGGATGAATTTACCAAAAAGATTTGGGTATATTTGCTAAAAGAGAAAAGTGCAGTGTTTTCTCTATTTGTGAAGTTTTGCAGTTCAGTTGAAAAATAATCTGAATTGAAATTAAAAATCCATATAACAGATAAAGGAGGTGAATATAACTTTAAGCATTTCAAAGAATTCTATGAAACTAAAGGTATTACACATGAGGTAACAACTCCCTATACACCTGAGCATATACACATGAGCATAATAGCTTGGCTGAAAGGAGAAATAGAAATTTACTAGATATGACTAGGTGTATTCTTAAAGGGAAAGAACGACCAAATTGTTATTGGGGGAAAAGTTGTCACCACAAAAACATATATTTTGAACAAATGTCCTACAAAGAGACTTCAATCTATTACACCTTAAGAAGTTTGGACTAGGGACAAGTCTATGGTGAACCATCTAAGAATTTTTTGGTCTCTCAGCTACAGGCACATCTCAGATGAAAGAAGAAGAAAGTTAGATGATAAGATTAAAGCTTTTATCCCAGTTGGATATAATCCAACTGGTGCATATAAACTTTATATCCCTTTAAAGAAACAAGTGGTGATTAGCAGAGATGTCATGATAGATGAAACCACAACTTTGAAGTGGGAAAATGAGTCTAAATTTCCAGCTCATATATTCTTGAGGACAACTCAAGATTCAATGATGTTAATCCTACTAGCGCAATGCAACCTCTTGTAAGAAGGTCGCAAAGAACAAGATTTCCCTCCACAAGACTTGCAGATTATAAATTGTACAATAATAGTTCAATCTTTGGTGATGGTGAAATGATACATTCCGCTTTAATGGTTGACACTGAAATTGTACACTAGAAGCAGGCTTTGGACATAAAAGAATGGAAGACTGCTATGAAAGAAGAATTGGATGCCATCGAGAAAAAATAGAACCTGGGAGCTTGTTGGTTTGCCACATAATAACCATCCAATTGACGTGAGGTGGGTGTTTAAAATAAAGCTTAAATAAGATGATTCAATTGCAAAATACAAAGTCAGGCTAATTGCAAAAGAGTTCCTTCAAAAATTGATTATACATAAATATATTCTTCAGTTGCAAGAATGGAAACAATAAGATTAGTAATTGATGTTGCCAATTCTAGAAATTAGACCATATGTCAGCTTGATGTCAAATATGTCTTTTTGAATGGTCCATTAGAAGAGGAAGTATACATCGTGCAACCACAAGAATTTGATATAAAATGGAAGGAACACAAGGTGTATAGACTACTTAAACCTCTTTATGGCCTCAAGTAGGCCCCTCGAGCCTGGAATAGAGTGATTGACAATTTCCTTAGCGAACAAGGATTTGTGAAATGTACAGTAGACTTTGGCATGTATATAAAGGAAACCCAACACAAAAACTTGTTATTTGTATGCCTATACGTGGATGATCTAATCGTTACCGGTGATGTGAATGAAAAAATCGAGTAATTCAAAGAAAAAATGAAGTCAAGGTTTAACATGACAAATCTTGGAATTCTGCATTATTTTCTTGGTTTTGAATTTATGCATACACAAAAGAGATTTTTCTTACACAAAAGAAAATATATTGGTGAGATTCTGAAACGCTTTAACATGGAGAATTGTAAAACAACTATAGTCCCGTGATACCAATCCTAAAATTAACAGAAGAATTGGATGAAAAATCAGTTGATGCAACATTATTTAAACAAATTATTGGTTCACTCATATTCTTGTGCACCAGTAAACCCAACATTAGTTATGGAGTGGGTTTGCTTAACAGATTTATGAGCAATCCTCGAGCTTCTCACATGACTGGAGCCAAGCATATCTTAAATTTTGTTTATTATTTTCAATTAGGAATGATTAAAACAGATCATGCATTGAAGTCTACTCTGATTCAAATTGGTGTAGTGATAAGGTTGGGAGAAAAAATACCTATGGGTACCTATTCAGGTATTTGGATGCACCAATATCCTGATGTTTAAAGAAGCAAAGTGTGGTGATACTCTCTTCTAGCGAAGCTGAATATATAAGGTCAGTTCAAGCTGTTTGTCAAAGTTTGTGGCTGAAAACGCTACTTGAAGAAATGAAATTACTTTGTGGCTTATCAAATATATATGTTGACAATAAATCAACCATTAGCTTGTCAAAAAAAATAAGCACGTCGAAATCAAATATCATTTCCTTATATAAATCAAGTAAGTAAAGGAAGATTGGAACTTGTATATGGCAGTACAAATGACCAAGTTAATTATATTTTTACCAAACCTTTCAAACATGAAATATTTAAGAAGTTAAGAATTTTACTAAATTTAGAATCATCTTCATGTTTTGGATTAAGAAAAATGTTACTGTATAAACAAAACAGAAAAATTAGTTAATACGATTACAAATATGCTCTATATGATGGTATAAAAAAAGTATTACTATATTAATTTTACGTGTGCTTAACGAAAGCCTCTTTTCTTTCATCTTCTCTTTCTCTTTATTCTTCTTCTTAAAGAAACAAATTGTTCTAAGTTCCAAACCCATTATTTAGATTTAAGTTATATATTTTAAAAATTATATATATATATATATATATTACATAAAAATACGTAATATTACTAATACTTAAATACCTTAAATATATTTATTTTATACTAACGAGAATATCTTTTATTACTCCGGTTACAATAAAACAAAAACTCGATCTTACATTTTAAATAAAGACTTATAAGAATTACAAAGACTTAATAGATTATTATTATCTTTTAATAACCAAATCAATAGATTTTATGACTAAAATGACTAGTAATATTAATTTGAAATATTAAATTAATTGACCATTATCGAATTTAAAAACTTTTTTTACAACATTAAGAAAAATAATTATTGACATTCTTTTATTGTTACCTTTTACTTCTGCAACTTTATATGTATATATTAACGGAGTAAAAACAGTTCTATATATATAAAAAAAAAAAAACATAGTAATTGATATCGTTTATAGCACATTTTTTAAATATGCTGTGGGACACTAATTTTTCATCATTCTGGTACTACTGACAACAGATAAAAAAACCAAAGCATATTTGTCACATAAACTCTTTTACGTTGTTATCAAGTTCAACAACAGTTTCTAATTGAACAACAACTTTCTCTATTAAAAATCATACAGGACAGGACATTTTCTTTTATCAATTATTGAACTTTCATTTTGCTTTCAATGATCCTTGAATCTCCTCAACTTTCTAACTTAATCCAATGAAAAATTGGACCAAGGGCTTCATGTGATATTTATCTTTTCCATAAACCCTAACTGAACAAATTGAATGATGAACGTGAAGAATTGGTGAGTGGGAAAGATTTGCTTGATGCATGCAAAGATTGAGCAGTGTGCTGTTGATTGCTAATTAAAAGAGGGACATAAACTCAGTATGATTGTTGCTGCATTAAAGACAAGCTAGCTACCCCCATTATTTATTCTGTCAAAAACCATACCTTACTGTCAATGGTGAAAATGAGATCACAAAGTTTCATGGTCTTTGGAACTTGGTTTGAAACTCTTACCTTGTATTTTAGAAAATAAAACTAATTGCCACCAACACCATGATTACACGTTCATGTAAATGGATGAATAGTAACAACATAAAACAAAAATGGATAATTGCTAAAACCTGATAGCCGCAATTTGTTGAACAACTTTGTGATTCTTTCATGTGGTGTGCAGTGTGCACCATAAAGAAACTGAAAAGAACACTAACAAGTTGACCAGTTATCTTAAATTTGAAGCAGAGATGAAATTTCGAAGTGGAGAAAGTGCCTGTTCACTGTCATGCATAGTTCAATAATATTTCTGAGATCTCTGATGTTAATGGCCCTTATTAAAATATTTAAAAGAAATATTTTTATTATACATTACAGATAAATATCTAATAATGATATTTTCGATAAGAAAATGTAATATTGCTTGCTACGCCTTACATGGATTTAGTTATGCTGCACAGAAACTGCAGCATGTAGTTGAAGAAGTTCATAGTTAGAAAACAGGTTAAGTTAATAGAACATCACGTTGAAACTATATTAATAATACTTTTTTATTTAAAAATATATATTTAGTTTTTTAACCATAAGAGTGAATGTTAGCAGTTCTAGAATTTGTAATTAGTTTTATAGCTTTGCTGTAAAGTTGTTTTTCTTTTAACTCATAAAAAGCTATTTTAATTTTCCTATAAAATAAATGAAACCGATTTGCATTCATGAGTGTTGCTGGACATGCAGAGCCATCAATGCTGACTCTTTCCATACTTGATTTTTAACAGTATGTCTGCAAGTTGAGTTGTAAAAGTAAAGCAGGGAGACATAATTTTTTTTATCAAAACATTTTTTAATTCGATAATTTTTAAACCAAAGTAATCAAATATTAAATTAGCATAAATTAACATCCTAATTATATCTTTATTCTGGTAAAGATTAAATAGTTCTCTTAATCTTAAAAATAAAATATTATCCCTCCTTTCTTATACCATGACATGAGCATTTTTCTTGTTAACACTAGGGAAAATACGGATTTCTCTTTCTTCATGGAACTGCTTTATATATTAGCAAGAACCCCATCAACCCCATTGGCATTCCCAAATAACAATCATGTTCTTATGGTCTTGTGCACCTCCTAGCATATAATTACAGAGGAAAGAAACAGAGAAACCCTGCTTCAAAACATCATTGTATTGATAATTTTTCGTTCTATATATTTTCCAATGGGTATCAAGTTGAATAGACCAGTTAATGTTGAGATTTTGTTTGAAGTTTTTTTAGTACTATACTTGTTTAGGATTACAACTTCCTATGAACAACCAGCAAATTTTGTCTTCGGAGATTCTCTGGTCGATGTGGGGAACAACAATTACATTGCTTCCCTCTCAAAGGCTAATTATCCTCCCTTTGGAATTGACTTTGGAAGACCAACAGGAAGGTTCACAAATGGAAGAACCATAGTTGACATTATTGGCAAGATTAACTTCTTATTTTCTTTTTCTTCTTATTTCACTTATGTGCCATTTTGGTTTTATTCATCTCATAACTTTATCATGCTTCATCAGGTCATGAAATGGGTGTTGATTCTACCCCACCTTACTTAGCACCAACTACAGTTTTACCAGTGATTATGAAAGGTGTCAACTATGCTTCTGGTGCAGGTGGAATCCTCAATCTCACTGGAAAACTCTTCGTAAGTTTTCTGCTTCAATAGCTATTGTTTAAGCTCCAAATTTAATGAAATAGTAAGAATATTTTTTGTGATTTTGAAGGGTGACAGAATCAACTTCGATGCACAGTTAGATAATTTTGCTAACACCAGGCAAGACATCATCTCCAGCATTGGTGTTCCTGCAACTCTCAATCTATTCAACAGGTCTATATTTTCAGTAACAATGGGTTCCAACGATTTCATCAACAACTATTTAGCACCAGCAGTCTTAATTTACGAGACGAATTTGGCATCTCCAGAACTCTTTGTGATCACTTTAGTGTCAAAGTTCAGAGAACAGCTCACTGTAATGTTTCTCTGAAGACCTTGCTTCTTGATATTTCATATAATATCTTTCTGCTAAACAAAGAAAATTTGATTTTTTCTACAACAAAATTTTCCTTTTAGAGTAAATAGTCCATGTGTCAACTGTGTAAAGATTATTGCATGGCGATTCAATAACAGATCAACATGTATCATAACTTTACTGACTTTTACAATAACTATCTTAAATATAATCTTGTTTGAAAATGTAAAATTTTACTCCTAAATTACACCTTTTCATAGAATATCAGAAGGATTAGTTGGAGTATACTGATAAATATAATTCATTGTTGTTTAATGACTTTCGGCATTAACTATTGTTGTGCTTATGAACATTGTGCAGAGGCTATACAATCTAGGTGCCAGGAAAATTATTGTGACAAATGTAGGACCTATTGGATGCATTCCAAGTCAGAGGGATACAAACCCAGCTGCAGGTGATAGCTGTGTCACTTTCCCAAATCAGCTAGCACAGTTATTCAATATGCTGTTGAAGGTTCTAATTGCAGAGCTAAATTCAAATCTGAAGGGTTCAATGTTCGTGTATGCAGATGTGTACCACATATTAGAAGACATGCTCAACAATTACACAGAATATGGTGTGTAGCTGAGGTGACAAAAATTGTACTAGTACATGAAGTTTGCATGGTGTTTTTGAAGTAATTAGAGCCTTTTGTTTGTTAATGTGGCAGGTTTTGAGAACCCATGGACCTCTTGTTGTTTCATGGCTGGGCGTTTTGGAGGTTTGATTCCGTGTAGTCCCACTTCGAGCATATGCGAGGACAGATCCAAGTATGTGTTCTGGGACCCTTGGCATCCCACTGATGCTGCAAATGTTGTCATAGCTAAGCGCCTCTTAGATGGTGATCATAACGACATTTTTCCAATGAATGTTCGCCAACTCATTCAACTTTTGATCTGATTCCTCTGCAAATGTAAATGTTTGAGGGATGTTTTGGAGAAACTATGAGATAACCTGATTCTTGGTGCAGCAAATCTCCAATGTGTCTCACTGATTAAGGCAACTATTGTTAATCGGTTAACATTAAATGAATGCATTTTTATAATCTAACTCTACTTGCATTTCATTCCTTTGAAATAAAGATATGCTTTCGTTTTTAAAGATTTTAAAAATAAAAATTAAAATAAACGATATAGCAGAATTTTCAAAATTAGTTTATAGATAAATTAATTTTAGCTCATGAAAAATTAATTCCATTTTTTGTTAAATTGTTATGAAAAATTCATCTACATACACTTTATTGTTGTGTCAACAATAATATACATATATCATGTAATAAATTATACTAAAATAACATAATTTAAAATAATTTAAATTCTGCTATCAATATATAGTGTATTATAGGGATAATGTTAAAGTGGATGTGGACACACAAAAATTAATATTATAATGAAAATATTTGTATATTTGTTACGCAATAATGCTTCAGCTAGTTTTATTTTTAGTTATAGCTAGTTTTACTTTCAGTTTTGTAGTGTGATTAATTAGTTTTTTTGTTATAAACTAATTCATATCTTTTATAATTCTTTTTAATAAAAAAATGAGAATATACAATTCTTTAATCTTTCATGTTTTTCTTTTCTTTTAATGAATCTTTCTTTTTTAATACGGTATCAAAGCTCCTTTCATAGGAGTTTTACTATGCACAACTATGAATTCTTCTTTCTTTTGATGTTATAGTTCATCTTTCTCTCTCTCTCTCTCTAACAATGGCAAACTCTGCCATAGATTCAGTAAGTCCATATTACATGAGTATCAACGAGAATCCAATAATTTCTTTGGTTTCCGTTTAATTGAATAGAGGAAATTATCACTCGTGGGCAAGAGCTATGATGATGCTTCTTAATTCAAAGAATAAGGAACAATTTGTTGATGGATCACTTCCAAGACCTTCAAACACATATTTGAATTTTGCTGCCTGGAAGAGGTGTAACACCATGGTAATGTCATCGTTAATTCATTTGGTTGATGCAAAAATCGCTGAAAGCATTTTATGGTATGATAGTGCTCCAAATATTTGGAAGGATCTCAAGCATCGATATTATCAAGGAGATGTGTTCAAAATCAGTGATTTACAATAAGAAATTTACATGTTGAAACAAGGAGATTCAACAATAACAAGTTACTTTACTCAACTCAAGATTATGTGGCAAGAACTTGAAAATTTTCGTCCTATACCTACGTGTAGCTGTAATACAAATTGTACATGTAGTTCGAAAATTATCACTCATTTTAAATCATATCGAGAAAATGACTATGTTATAAGATTCTTGAAGGGATTAAATGAGCAATACTCGGCTGTTAGATCACAGATTATGTTAATGGAACCTTTGCCTGACATTGGAAAAACATTCTCCCTATTAATTCAACAGGAAAGACAAAGACAATTTAATTTGGTAAGTAATTATCTAAAGGTGTTAGATGTTACAAATAACACAAAAAAATTCTTTGGAAGCTCTAGAAGAGGTAGAGGAGGAAAATTTGGTACTGGGAGAGGCAAGATTTGCTCATATTGTAACAAGACAGGTCACACAGTGGATAATTGCTATAAAAAGCATGGATTTCCACCTCATTATAAGTCAGGAGTAAGCAGTTCAGCCAATAATTGTTTTAATGATAAAGAGGCACTAAGCTTTGAAAACAATAAGAGTATTGGCAGTAAAGACAAGGATGATGACAAACTAATCAAGCTCACACCAGAACAACAGAGAGCCATTGTGAATATTATAAATCAATCTAACAATCAGCATGTTACTCACTCAGCCAATAACATTACCTCCAATGATCATAATCTTTCTCAAGCACAAATAGGTACAATCTGCACTTTATCTAATGATGTGAAATCCAATCTTTGGATCTTGGACATAGGAGCAACAAATCATGTTTGTTATACTCTTAAGTCTTTTCAGTGCATTAGAAAAATCAAGCCTATGAAAATTCATCTACCAAATGGGAACTCAGTTATCACAGATTTGGCAGGATCTGTTTTCTTTTCAAAAGATTTTTATATCACAGATGTGCTTTATATTCCCAGTTTCAGCTTCAATCTTATTTCTATTTCAAAGCTTATTCAACTTGGCTGTCAATTGACTTTTTCTCCTACATCTTGTGAAATCCAGGATCTCCAATCTATGAAGATGATTGGTGCAGCTGAAATGAAGAAAGGACTTTATGTTCTTGGTTTCAATCCTAAAGTCAATTCTTTTGTTCATTTTGTTAACAATTTTCATTCATATGCTTGTGATATGTGGCATGTTAGATTTGACCATTTGGCTCATGACAAACTTGTTGTGTTGAGAAATAAGTTTTCCTTTATTGACTGTATTCAGAATAAAGATCGATGTAATGTTTGCTACTTAGCTAAGCAAAAACATTTACTTTTTCCTTCAAGTGTGAGTAAATCTGAAGTTGTTTTTGATATGATACATGTTGACATATGGGGACCTACTTCCCCTTCTTTTATTTTTGGGCATAGATACTTTCTCACTATAGTATGAAAGTGATGAAGATCTTAGTGAAATACTTTGGCAAAGATCTCATTGATTTGATGAAGTCAAAGATGGAGTTTAAAGTCAACATTGCAACGGTCAACAAGTCACTCAGATAATAGAGTTAGAAGATTTAGTGTGTCTACAGAAGGTTTAGGTAAAACCACTTTATCTTTTCTGCTGCATGAAGTTTCTTCTCTTAAAAGATTTTGCGAAATGCCTCTAAAATCGTTTTAAACAATTAAAAACAAAGCATTTTGACAAAAGCTTTCTTAAAACATGTTTTTAACTGATAAAGTTTTGAAAGAACCGATTAAAATCACTTAGAATGTTCAAAGAAATGTTTTTACAGTATTTTAATCGATACAAATCACTTTTAAGCGACTAAAACCCTTTAGAAACCATTATGACCGATCAGATTTTAAATATGAGCGATCAGAACTTATTTCAATCGATTAAAACACGTTTCAATCGATTAAAATCACTTAAAGGGTCAGAATGATCGATCAGAATGCAGTTATGACCGATCAGAGTTGGTTATGATTGATCAGAATTGAATTATGACCGATCAGATCTGTTTCAATCGATTAAAACGCATTTCAATCGATTAAAATAACTTGGAAAATTTTTGTACAGAGTTTCAATCGATTAAAACGCATTTCAACCGATTAAAACAACTTGGAAAAATTTTGTACAGAGTTTTAATCGATTAAAACTTCTTTTTATCAGTTAAAATAACTTGAAAAGTTTTATATGAAAGTTTTGCAGTATATCAATCGATTAAAACACGAAACAATCGATTGAATCAAACTTAGAAAAGTTTTGTAAAGTATTTTAATTGATATAACCGTTGCAGTATCAACTAAAACAATTCTGTTAAAGAAACAAGAACGCATTAATGGATTGAAAGGACTTTTAACAGATTGAAAGGTTATTTCAACAGATTAAAACAAACTTTCAACAGATTAATTAATGCAGCAGTTTTTGAAATTACTCTTTAAAAACAATTTTGCTTGAACTTTTTAAACAGACTTTGAATATCAGTTTTTACACATCCTTAAGCAATCATTCAAGCAAACCTTAGAACTTTTTCAAGAAAGATTCGCAACAATTTTTTTGAAGTTATTTTGAAAATCTTTCTTGAGGCAACTTGCATTCTTTTGAAGAAGAAACTCTCTGCAGATTTGGATAAACTGGTTTGAACTTTGTAGTTTCTTCTTTGTAAATTCTTTTTCATTCTCTTGTATTGTGTTGTGCCCGGAATTTGGGCACTGGTTTCTCTGCAACTGGAATTTGGTTGTAGAGGTTATCAAGAACTGGAATTTGGTTCTTGGTGAAAGGTTTGGTGCCTGGAATTTGGGCACTCGGTTTCTCTCGCAACTGGAATTTGGTTGTAGAGGTTATCAAGAACTAGAATTTGGTTCTTGGTGAAAGGTTTGGTGCTCGGAATTTGGGCACTGGTTTCTCTGCAACTGGAATTTGGTTGTAGAGGTTATCAAGAACTGGAATTTGGTTCTTGGTGAAAGGTTTGGTGCCTGGAATTTGGGTACTGGTTTCTCTGCAATCGGAATTTGGTTGTAGAGGTTATCAAGAGCTGGAATTTGGTTCTTGGTGGAGAGGTTAAGTGCAGGAACTGGAATTTGGTTCTTGTGTTAGATTAGGTGTAAGATTGTTGAATCTGTAAAACATTTAATCTAGTGGAACCCAGCTGGAATTTGGCTGGAGACTGGACGTAGCCCTGGTATTGGGTGAACCAGTATAAAATACCGGTGAAATCTTTCTTAACCTTTCTCTCTTTAAATTCAGTTGTTGCGCTTATTTTGATTGATTGCTTTGTGATTCAAGAATAGATTAGTAAACTTAATTTTCGAATTAGATAATCTGTGATTTGCGAAAAACTTTCAAAGATCAATTCACCCCCCCTCTTGATCTAAAACTACTTTTCTAACATAGTAGATGATAAATCAAGGTATACCTGGATTTTCTTTTATTAAGCAAAAGTCAGAAGTCGCAACACATTTGAAAGGCTTTATAGCCATGGTTAAAAACCAATTTAATAAGAGGGTGAAATGTATAAGGTCAGACAATGGGGAAGATTTTAATCTGACATCATTCTTCAATGAAAAAGGAATCCTTCATCAAAGGTCTTATGTAGAAACTCCACAGCAGAATGTGATAGTGGAGAGAAAGCACCAACACATTTTAACAGTGGCTAGAGCTCTTGTTTTTCAATCTCATATTCCCAAGTGTTTCTAGATTTATGCTATTTCACGTGTTATTTTTCTTATTAACAGACAACCAAACAGTTTCTTGAAAATTTAACTCCTTATGAGATTCTTTATCAGCAGCTTCCTGACATTAGCAACTTAAAGAGTTTTGGTTGTTTAGCCTATGCCAGCACTTTACAAGTTA